AAGAAAGAAGAGAGAAAGAAAAAAAGAAGGAGGAAGAGAAGAGGGAAAGAAAAAGAAAAAAGAAAAAAAAAAAAACAAGGTGGGGTACACTCCCATGTAAACTACTCACAGCATGAAACCGGTCGCATTGTCAAAAATATACACGTGGGAAACGTTGATTGGTTAGAAAGTTGTAAAGTGGGTCCCGTGGCAAATTTCTTGAAAGTGGTCAAAGTGGCAAATCAGGTAATTTAGAATAAATTTACTTTTCCTATTATTTAATTAAGGAGATTTATTGCAAATCTAATTTAATTTTGAAATCCTATTATGGGATGTATGCAATCTTAATTATGGAACAATCTAATTTACTATTTAAGATCTCATGAATAACATACTCATATTAATATAATTTAATTATTTAATTCATAAAATAATGCCTTTAAAATCTGGACAAAATACAACCTACTATAAGTCTTTAATTAGATGTAAATTAGATTTTAAAATTTTGTAAAGAATGTATGCAAGATGTGCTAAAACACCCTTTTTAGTACGTGAGAAGGCAAGATTCAAATAATATTATAATAATTAATAAATTAATTAATTAAATTGAGAGAGTAGAATAATTGTGTTACAGTGGTACAGTACATAGGTCAAACGTTGTCTTATTACGGGATTAATGCCCAGGTGTGGGTCCCACTAGGTGTTATCCCACATGATACGATTGGTCCCATTTTTGTATTAATTAAATATAATTAATATAAAAAGGAAATTGAAAATTTGCATTATTTTGTGAAGTGAAAAATGGAGTGCTTAATTATTTGGAATTAAATAGTGCGAGAAATAAATAATAATTAAAAAATTGACTTATATGATTAGGCAGTGAGATGAATGGTACAAAGATTGGGTTGATAAGTCACAAATATAATGATGAATGAATGATTTGATTGACAGCTGACGTGGAAAGAATAGCATGTGATTTCAAGAATAATAATGTGCTTAAATTTGCATATGGAATATTTGTTTAAAAACAATATTCCATTTACATATATATAATATTTTCTTTTATAATTCATTGGTGTATATGTATGCAATTTTATTCAAATATTTTTGTTGATTCTCCAATTATTTATATAATTTAATGATCAATTGTAAATTCATAATTTATTGTAAAATTTATTTTGAATATGTTTGTATGAAATCATATACGAGTGTTTACTTTTTATTTATATATAATTTATTGTAAAATATATAAGAAGAATTTTTTTAGACAAATATATAAGAAGAATTTATATATAAATAAAAAGTAAAAACTCATATATATTTTTTAATAAAATATTTATAAATAAAATATTTATAAATATACCCCTATACTTTTAATATTAACACGTTTCTCTCAAACTCATGTATTCCTATTTTTGGAACATGCCGTTTTCCCGTATTTTTCCCGTATCATTGTTTCCGTGTCCGCACTACGTAGATTTTGTAATATAATTATACATGACAGACATTAATTTATTCTCAATTTTATATTGATGTAATTCCCAGCATCTAGAAATATGGCGATTCATAGACATAAAAAGTTATTGCATAGGAGAGTACTAAAATAGCGTTAGTCATCATGAATTAAATTGACATGGTACTAAACTACAATTTATTAGATGCAGCAACCCCATGAAATAAATTGGATGATCTTGTACTATTGATATTTTTTTTTTGATAATTAATCTTGTACTATTGATATACGCATAATAACACACGTACTTATGTGTATATGTATTTTTTGAATAGTTGTTTATATAGGTTTATAGTACAAAACTGTCCAATGTTTTTCACTAGATATAGCATCATCTCGCATACCCGAAGCTAATATGTCTTTTCATGACAGTTATGGTAGATTGGTTATTGAATTTTCCGAAAGGCCATTAACCACTTTTCTTCTTAGGTATCGAAAAATCAAGTAGTTTGGTGAAACATTCAATCAATTTCATAAAATAAAACATTTTAATATACTTGTATAAATTTATTTATTTCAAATTGTATCATTGTATAATGGCAAATTATATATAGTGCCCACATATCTATCCTTTTATGGTATGAAAGTGATATATATATAGGACCATGTTGTCTTTCTGAGAACATGTAATCATGTTTGTAGTTAAGAAACCAACTCTCATACATCATCACTTTACTTTTGTAAGAATCTGAGAATTGCTAAATAATAATTTGAACTTAATCAATTAACACGATAATATATTTTCGTTTAATACGAAGCCCGACTGCAGGAGCATAACTTATTTAGTGAATATGTCGGAATATGTAAAGTCACTCGAGCTAACATTGCGTTAAACTCAATTGATGTTCATTTCGTTTTCCGATGTTCATTTCATTAATTCTATGTCCTATGACAATCTTTATAATATTATATGATCTTGAAATTCAGCCATATATTGAACATTATTAGTAGAAATTGTCACTGTATCATAATTCATAAATCTCTAGTATAAATCTATTAAGGAAAAATAGGCTACCAAATTCGTCTCGTTTTATTAATTTATTTAATTTCTAAGCATTGTGAAAGCTTCGTCAACATGGAACTATTGCCCCTACACGCAGCTGCAAAAGCCCGATTATACCTATGCATCGGAAGTTTTCACTACAATCTTTATTCACCCATCAAGCATGTCGTGGAGGAAATGCAGTCGACACTGTCAACAATTAAAATAGAAATAAAAAATTAAGAGAGAAACAATAGTAAACAAATTCAGATCATATGTTTAATTAGCTAGTCACAAGTTATATAAGATTTTATATCTTATGTATGATACTTCTACAATTTCTAATAATTTTTTTTTAAAAAATATTCTCTAGTAAAATGAAGCAATAAATCAAATTTATACTAATATCGGATATAATTAATTTTCACAATTATGTTTGGTACGTACGTGATTGTTCCCCGTCAGCTTTTGTTGCACTAGGGTGACAGCTGCAAAAGCCATTCACGCAATCGACTTGTCCGTTGAAGCAGTCGATTCTACAATCCTTAACGGACTGACATTTTAGCGACACCACATCAGGATTTCTTGCCGACGCTGTATCACCATATATATATATATATATATGTTCACACAATTTAATACAATATTATTTATATGTTTTAATACCAAGTGTAAAATGTAATGAATGTAATGTAAACTAGCAGAGATCTTGTCAAACAATTTAGTTAGATTGAAATAAAAAGGAAGAAACTAAAGTAGAGAGAGAGAGAGAGAGAGAGAGAGAGAGAGAGAGAGAGAGAGAGAGAGAGAGAGAGAGAGAGAGAGAGAGAGAGAGAGAGAGAGAGAGAGAGAGAGAGAGAGAGAGAGAGACTAATTACCAAGTGAAATAAGCAAAAGAGTGACCAAGAAAATAATCTTTTGGGAAGCCATAAGAAATTCTTGACTTGTTTGTTTTTGATAAACGAAATGAAATAAGTATATAGTATAATTATTTGCGCTGAGTATGTATTCAGTCATTCGGAACCATGTATATATAGGTGATAGAATGTAATAATAATAATTAACAAATCAATCAATAAATAAATAAAAGGTAATTTCAATAATGGGATATTGCCTTGACACAATCTGGGCATCCTAACCATTACCAAATATGGTTGTGGATATATCATAGGTTCCATGGAAATTTTAATGCTTAACGGAAATTTCAAAAAAAAAATCGGAAATCACATAAGTATTAAAATTTCAAAACTTAGCGGAAATTTTCTGAAAATTTATATTTCCAAAA